CCCAATCAGAGTCGGAATATCCCAGGATGAATGAAGTCATCTCACCAGCCTTCTTGCAATTGAAGACAAGGCAGTAGTCACAAGTCCCTCCAAGATAGCGAAGAACATGAACAGCTTCATCCCAATGAGTTTTACCTGGGTTGGAAGCAACTTTGCTGAGTGCTCCCACTGCAAAAGCAATGTCTCCACGAGTTCCTAGCATGCTGTACATGAGGGTACCGAGTAGGCTTTGATAAGGAAAGTTCTGCATGAATTCGACTTCGGAGGGAGTCGAGGGGCAGTCAGATTTGCTAATCTTGGCTCCAGAGCTGAGGGGTGTGGGATGAGTTCGACCATCATTGAAACCATAGCGCTCAAGGGACTGTTGGATGTAGCGTGATTGGGAAAGTTGAAGGATGCCAGCTTCATGATCATAATCAATCGCAACACCAAGGAGTTGGCTGATAGAACCAAGATCCTTGATTTTGAAGATCTTGCTGATGTGATCCTTGATCTTCTGCATGAAGTCTAGGTCATTGCAGAGTAATCCCATGTCATCAACATAGACAGCGAGGAATACAATGAAGTCCCCTTCTTGAAGGATGTAGATGCAGTAATCGGCGTTGATTCGACGAAAATTGAGCATTGCGAGCTCATGGTCAAGGAGTTCGTTCCAAACTCGAGAGGCTTGCTTCAATCCATAGATCGAACGAAGTAGCCGAGCGATTTTCCCAGAGAGAGGACCAACACCTTGAGGAAGGTGCATGTAGATCTCTTCTTTGAGAATACCATTGAGGAATGCTGTGTCAACATCAAGGTGATGGAAGTGAAGTTTGAGGGTGACTGCTAGGGCACACAAAACACGGATTGAAGTGAGCTTTACCACAGGTGCAAAAGTCTCATCGAAATCCATCCCGGGGATCTGAGAGTAGCCTTTCGCAACCATGCGTGCTTTGAAGCATTCGATGGCACCAATGTTATCCCGTTTGACTCGAAATACGAGTTTGGAACTCACAGCCTTTCGTCCAGGAGGTAGTTTCTCAACAATGACAAATGTGCCCATAGCTTGGAGGGATTTAACCTCCTCATCAATGGCTTGTTGCCACGAATCTGCATCGGGACTGCCCATGGCTTCAGTAAGCGTCATGGGATCAGTGTAACCAGTGGATGTGGCTGAAGCGGCAAATACAAAAGCGATTTGAGCAAATGCATCATCATCTGCGTCACCATTGTCTAAAGGAACCTCTGCTTCAGGAGGGGGAGAATCAGCACGATATCTCTCAGGAAGACGACGTGGTCGTGGTCCCTCAATTATCGGTGGATCCCCAAGTAGCTCGAGTTCAGTTCGACGTCGACGAGGTTGAGCAGGAAGATCAGGAAGAGGAAGAGGATGTTCCTGATGTGGTGGTTCAACAGGGAGAGGATTTGGAAGTGGATCTAGGTCCTGAGGTTGATTCTCTTCCTCATCGATGAGGTGTTCAATGGGTTGAGCGTTGGTGACAGGTGCTGAAGGAGGAGACTCCACATCAGCTTTGTCCCATGCGTCTCCCACTCGAGTCAAGCCTTGGACATCTCCAGTCAGTTCACCATCCCAGACAATCTCGGATAAATCAACTGGTGGTGCTGGGACTGCAGGAGGATTGATGCGCTCATCAAAAATGACGTCCCGAGAGATGATGATGGATCGTGTCTTCAGATCCCAGAGCCGATAGGCCTTAGTACCAACTTCATAGCCGACCATGATGCATTTCCTTGTTTTCCAGGCAAGTTTGGTGCGCTTGGCTTTAGGAATGTGAGCATAAGCAGGACAGCCGAAGGGTCGAAAGGAGGTGATGACAGGTTTGGTCTCAGACCAGGCCTCTTCAGGAGTAGAGTCTGGGAGACGTGAGACTGGGGAGCGATTACTGAGGTACATGGAACATTCAAAAGCATAGGTCCAGAATCCAGATGAGAGGTTACCCTCAAAAAGCATGCATCGACCACGTTCAACAATAGTGCGGTTCATGATTTCAGCAACACCGTTCTGCTCTGGGGTATAAGGAGTGGTTTTCTCATGAAAGATGCCACAGGACTCCAGATAGTCTTCGAACTCAAATGAGGTGAACTCGCCGCCACCGTATGAACGAAATACCTTGATCTTCTGGCCAGTTGCAGTCTCAACAAGCAACTTGAACTTTCGAAACATGGTGTACACCTCCGACTTCTTAGCCATGAAGTAGATCCAACCTTTGTAGGTGCAATCATCGATGAAGGTGACAAAGTAGCGCTTGCCCCCAATGCTGTTGGGAAAAGGACCACAGACGTCTGAATGGATGAGATCCAATTTTCGTCTAGCGCGCTTTTTGGAAGGAGGAAAGGGGAGTCTATGTTGTTTGCCATGTACACAAGCTTCACAAAATTCTATACGACCTCCCACTGATGTAACACCATCCACCATGCCCTTGTCAACTAGTCGTTTGACATTGTCATAACCGACATGACCTAGGCGACGATGAAGGAGGTTAATATCGAGGTGACGAGAGGTGATAGCAGCATTTGCATACTCCTTGGATGTCATAGGACACGCGATGAGGCGATAGAGGCTCCCACTGGTTTTATGCGCTGATGCAACACATTTGCCAGAAGGCTTCGAGCGAATGAAGCAGTCGTCATTGTCAAAGAGGATGTCGTGTTTGCCGTGATCAGTGAAGCGAGCGACAGAGAGGAGGGAGGCTGCAAGCTCAGGTACCCATAAAGCATTGGGTATGAGGGCAGGAACAACTCCCAAAGGGGTTTCCATCAGATAATGAATAGTCCCTTGACCAACAGCTGGTATGACCGAAGTGTCCCCAAGATGAACCTTAATGGGTTTCTCAAGCTTGGTGAAGGTGTTATCGATGAAAAGTTCACGACGAGGGGTGAGATGGCGGGAACAGCCAGAATCGATGTAGGTTTCGAGGTGAGACTGGTGGGAGAGGAGAGCGACAACTTCGGTGGCGATGAAGACATGAACGTCATCGTCGTTATCGTCAGAAGGGAACTCTGCATAGACGCTGGCGATGTTCGCCGCAGCTTGCTCTGGTTCAGAGGTGGCGGTGACTTGTGCGACGTTAGCGGTGGACAACTTCTTCTGACGATCCTTCTTCCCAGAGTCCTTCCCCTCAGTAGTCCCATTCTCCAAATCCCGCTTCTTCTTACGGCAATCCAACTCACCATGACCAAGGAACTTGCAATAGCCACACTGCTTCTTGGACTTCACCTTCGAGGAAGATGCCTTGGCCTGGCGAGCAGTGAGCGCAGAGTCAGCCTGTTCACCACCAGTGATACGACGATACTCCTGCATGAGCTTGGTGGAGACAACAGTGGTGGAGAGTGGAGTGGTGTCGGAAGCAGATTGGAGGAGGACGACGACAACCGTCTCCCAGGTGGAGTCTCGGGGAAGGGACATGAGCATGATTTGAGCCAGGAACTCGTCGTCGAATGCCTTCTTGTCGAGCTTCCGATTCTCCATGGTGAGGAAGTCGAGATGGGCATGCATGTCCTCACCGTCAGCGTACTTCTTCTCCAATATCCCAACCTTGGTATAGAACGCACTCAAGCCTGTATGAGTGTCCTTGTGCCGAAGAACCAGCTTCTCCCAAACCTCCTTCACCATCCCAAGCTTGTCAATCCCCTCGAACTGCGATGGCTCGATATGGGTCTTGATCATGCCAATGGCCTGGTCATTGCGACGGCAGGCAGCTTCGTAAGCTTGTAAGGCGTCCGCGTGGTTCCGTTGAGCTGGAATCCTCTTGGAAACGGTCGCCGTTTCAGGAAGGGACATTGGCGTGGGTTTCACAAGCAATTCGGCCTCGTCGCCGGTGCACATGCGCCAAACTCCCAAGCGTTGGAGCTCTGCCGTCACGAGAGGTTCCCAAGCATGGAAATTCCTGTGGGTAAGCTTCTTGATGCTGGTGGAAGATGACATTGACATCGGTGGGAACGTTTGGTGGTGATTGTGGGGATAAGGTGATCCGAGAGCTGAAAGTGGATGAACGAGCGCTTAGGCGTGTGTGGAAATGGTATGCGAGATATGGATGGTTTCCGATGGGGAATATGCGTGAGTGGTGTGTTGTATCCGAGGTTTTCACAGGTAAGTAGGTCTGGGGCCCATAACCTAATGAAATAACAAGTAAGCTCAGTGTTGTGTAGAAGAACAACCACTATATTTAGTACCTAATGAAATAACAAGTCTAGGTACCAGTAAGTATTGATAAGAAAGAAAGAGAACGAAACGATGTACAAGCTCAGCGTTGTGTAGAAGAACAACCACTGAGCGTGACGGGTGTGACATGTAAGTAGAAAAGTCCGAGACGCGTTTAAACGAGAATGTATCTAGATGTCAATTTCTAACAAACTCCTCATCACGTCGTCATCCCGTGTCCTTCCCGTCGCATCGTTGTCGTCCCATGTTGTCATTCCATTGTTTTCCTGTCTCAGTGAGGTGGGTTAGGATGAACGTGGGACAGAGGGTACTCACTGTGTCCTCGTAACGTCGTTGTCCCATGTCCTGATACATATGGGGGGCTAAGATGGAATAACAGATGAGGAAGACAAAAAGAGACACAAAAGAAGCAGAAGCGCTGTGTGTACAAGGCACTTTAGGGCGGGTTTGCTCTGATTCTGAACCCGCCCTAAAGTGCCTTGTATATATAGCGCCTCTGATCAGCTTCTTTCGCGTCTCTTTTCTTTCCTTCTGCACTCCCCTCTGCCCATGCCATATTTACGCTGTAGCTACACCCCCCTTGTATAGTTAACCCCCTTGTATATACTTGTTCTTACTTACATGTGTGTAGAATATTTCATTAATTTAAAATGATACACCCTCATAAAAATACAAAACCAAATACAAAAAACTTCCCTTCTCCCAGTGTGACTTGCAGGGGATAAAATACCTTACAAATTGTTCAGGTATCCCTTATGCATAACTTGGCAGCAATAAATTAGTATTTTTTCGATCTTATTGCTGCACAAACACTGACCAAATAACATGACGGGTATTGCTACGGGTACCCGCTAACCCCTGCCACGGGTACGGGTTTGGTGAGGGTTGGGAATATCAAACCCATACCCTTACCCAAGTGTACCCTTACCCGTAACCCGCATGGGTTGCTAAACCCGTGACAATCACTAAAGATGATCAGTGTCAGGTTCCTATGTGATTAGAGTCAAACATACCTCTTCCTTAGAGGGTAGCCATCAGGGCCAATAGTGGTAGGTACCTTACCAGTAACCAGAGTTGGGAAAAGGTTGGATTGTTTTCTCTTTCGTGAAGGTTGTGTCTGCTCTGGAATGATTGCTACAGTCTCTTGTAGAGTTGTGGTACTGGAATTTTCTATCATCTGGGGTGCATTGACAAGGGGGTTTGTGGCATCCAGAGCTTGGATACCCAGCTTTTCTGCCTCTGGGCATTTCCTGTGTCTTGATATGTTGATGCTGGATTTCCCATGACTCTGATTGCCTCTGAGTGTTCTACTCCAAAAATCCTATTTCTTGCATCCAGACCTTGAATATTCAGCTTTTCTGCCTCTATATTTTCCAAGCTGTTGATATGTTGCTGCTAGATTGGCCATGGCTCTGATTGTCTCTGGGTGTTCAGCCCCAAGAATTTTGGTCCTTGCATTCAGAACTTGGATCTCCAGTTTTTCTGCCTCTGTGTATTTTCCCAGGCATCGAGATGTTGCTGCTAAATTTGCCATGGCTCTGATTGTGTCTGAGTGTTCCACTCCAGGAATTCCAACCCTTGCATCCAGAACTTGAATCTCCAGCTTCTCTGCATCTGTGTATTTTCCCAGGCAGTGATATGTTTCTGCTAGATTTGCCATGGCTCTGATTATCTCTGGGTGTTTAGCTCCAAGAATTCTGGTCCTTGCATTCAGAACTTGGATTTCCAGTTTTTCTGCCTCTGTGTATTTTCCGACCCATTGATATGTTGCTGCTAGATTTTCCATGGCATTGATTGTGTATAGGTGTTCTGCTCCATGAATCCTGTTTGCTACATTCAGGACTTGGATATTCAGTTTTTCTGCCTCTGTGTATTTTCCCTGGCACTGATATGTTCCTGCTAGATCTCCCATGGCACGGAGTGTGTGTGGGTGTTCTACTCCAAGAATTCTGTTTCTTGCATCCAGAACTTGGATAATCAACTTTTCTGACTCTGTGTATTTTCCCATACACTGATATGTTCTTGCTAGACTTTCCATAGCAATGATCGTCATTGGGTGTTTAGCTCCAAGAATTCTGTTTTTTGCATCCAGAACTTGGATATCCAGCTTTTCTGCATTTGCATATTTTCCCATGCATCGATATGTTCCTGCTAGCTCTCCCATGACATGGAGTGTGTGTGGGTGTTCTACTCCAAGAATTCTACTTCTCGCATCCAGAACTTGGATATTCAGCTTTTCTGCCTCTGTGAATTTTCCAAGTTGTTGATTTATTATTGCTAGATTTCCCATAACTAACATCTTGAGTGTGTCTGAGTATTCAGCTCCATAAATTCTGTTTCTTGCATCCAGAACTTGAATATTCAGCTTTTCTGCCTCTGTTAATTTTTCAAGATGTGAATATGTTGCTGCTAGATTCGCCATAGCTCTGATTGTGTCTGGATGTTCTACTCCAAGAATTCTGGTCCTTGCATTCAAAACTTGAATCCCCAGTTTTTCTGCCTCTTTGCATTTTCTCAGGCATTGATATGTTTCTGCTAGATTTGCCATGGCATGGATTGTATCTGGGTGTTCCACTCCAAGAATTCTGTTTCTTATGTGTAGAACTTTATCACGCAAGGTTTCTGCCTCCTTGAAATATCCTTGTTCTTGCAATAGCCTCCCAAACTCATCATCAGCATCATCCAAGTAACTGACAGTGACACCGTTCTGGTTGCTTTCTGATTTGGAATGTTCTATATTTGCTCTCACATGTGTTACCAAGGCCCTCCAGAATTTATATGGCTGATATTCTCTCCATCTTAATGAACAAGACAAAGTGACATATGCCATCAAGCAACATTGTCTCCTCTCATTTAAAAGTATTCTGTCTCTGCCCCAGGTATGGACCAATGGATGCATGGAATACACACAATCAGATGGGCCTCTCTTAATGAAGGAAAATACCAGTAATACTCGCACTCCCTCTCTAAAGACAAAGTTATCCCAAGCACCTGTTTTATTGAGAGGAAGTAGTCTCCGATCCAGCATTGAACTTGCAATTGGTAATGCAGGGCTAGAGTTTCCTTTATCTTTTTGAAGTGCAGCATAAGAAAATATTTCCTCAGTGATTCCCTCATGATGGAAGAAAGGAAATAATTTGAGCAGAAGCATTGCACTATTGGCTGCATTGGCCCTGTGAGGATCTTCAGATACAGCTGATTTCTCAATTTCTTTGTATGATAGTTCCCAAGTTTCATACACACTTCTGTTGTACTTAGAAGCTCCAGTAAATGCAGAATGAGATAGCAATGTTTTTCGGTGCTCTGAATATTTTACAAGGTAGTCCCCAATAGCAGTGGCACCAGATGCAATGTAAGCACCAGCCTGATCAATAGCAAGAGGAAGGCAGAAGAGTTGCTTCACAATATTACAAGCTTCAGCTCGAAACTCCATTGAAGATGGATTTAAGCAACCAGCTTTCAGAAGTAATTCTATAGCATCATCCTCTTCCATCTCAGTTACTTCAAGAGAATTCTCAAGTGAAGTCAGACTTCTCATTGTGGAGTTGCGACTAGTTATCAAAATGTTTCCCCCTCTTCCAGGTGGAAAATAAGCCTCCAGCTCAGCAGGTGATAGAACATCAGCATTGTCAAAGACCATTACATAGTTCTCTTTCAGCAAGCCAATCCAGTGAAGAGCAGATTCAGGTGAGCCATCTAGTCTACTAGACTGGGCTGCAGGAAGATTACAGATACCCTTAAGTCCCTGTGTGATGGTGCCAGCTGAGGAAGCATCAATCCAGAAAACAGAAGAGAAACTGAAGGCAATTGAAATTTTAGAAATAAGAGTTGTCAGATCTGCCTCTTTGGAGATACTCACCAGTCAGACATTTCCTGAACAAACTTCAAGCAAATCTGAGTCTTCCCAATGCCTCCCATTCCATGTAGCAAAAAGAAATTTCTCTCGGCTGGGTCCCTTGTGTTTGTAGAAAAATGATTCTTAAGTTTGGCAATGACCTCTGTACGGCCTGTGAACCGATTGCTCGGATTTGGCATAAGGGGAATGACCCCATCGGACGTCATCCTGTTGCCATAATTGTTGATGTGCATCTGCCCGAAATCCACGCTATCAGTTTCACTGGAACATTCACATAATAACCACTCCACTCACAGTGTTAGCGGTATTGAAGGTGTTGTTGCTAGCAACAAAGTGGTGAGCACCCGCAAGAACGTTCGCTCCGCTCATGTTGAGATACCGAAGGTGGAGAGGTTCAGGATGAGGGAGGGAAGGAAAGAAGAGCGCCTGGAAGCCAGGAGACCCCCATTCATGCCACGAGGTGAGCACGTGTTTTGGTCTATTCTTATATACCTTGAGCACGTGCCTCGGCTTTTCCAACTGTCCTTGTTCGTCGGTGTCCAGAGATGGCGGTTCACGGGTGCACCCTTTTCGGTGAGTGGGCTCGACCTTTTTGCATGCTGGCTTTGTATGGAGCCTCGGCTGACAATCTTTTAAGCAGCAGTCACGTCAAGTCTCGAGTTGCATGGTGGGCCCCTTGGTTCGCCTGACAAAGAATGAGTGAGTTCCCATTCTTTTCTATAAGGGGGGTAGCTAACGACTCTTGACGCAGATGACTCTACACATATGCTACTGTGCCAAGTCCAAGGCGTTCTTGCACATTTGCGTTCGCCTACCTCCTTCCCTCTAATCAATGATCAAAGAAAACCATCCTCTCCACAACCCCTCACACCCATCGTCCTCTGCAGCGAAAATGTGTTTACGCCTCGCAGTCTCCCACCGCCTCCATCAAGTGCAGAAGCCGAGTATGTTTTCGGCCTATTTCACCGTCCTCCCGACTGATCTCAATCGTTGGGAGGGTCTTTCCTGAGACGACACGGACGCACGGCTTCTTCGTTCCGAGGCATGGTGGAGGGCGAACCGAGATGCAGTGGGATTATAGATGTCCACGAGTGGATATCGTGGACATCGCTCTTAGATGAATTTTTAACGAGGGTGAATCTCGGGCCAAATGCAGCTGTAACCCCGCTTGCTCTCTTGTGTTTTCCTCCCGTCGACTTTCATCAACACCGAGGTCGTGCTTCAAGCCTATCCATGACGTGAGAGCATGTTTGCCCCTCGCGTCGTCGTCTTCCGGGGAAGTTTCCCCACCATGGTGGAGAAGACAATTCATTCTCCTCGCATTCCGATCAGAGGAACAATGCATCTCCATGACACAATGTCCCTATGTTCACCCGGAATCTAACCCCACCCCACACGCGCTAGTCCAACTTGAGCCCATTCCCTCTGTTGGAATGTTCTTGTCCGTCTATAGGTTGTTGCTGATGCGATGTCAGCTTATGCGTTCGAGGAGGGAAAGTTTCTGCGGAGTTCGTTGAGCTTGGCGTGATGGTGTACTGGCGCCGTAGAGAAGACCGCCGTAGGGCATGCTTGAGTACCCGACCCCGGGGATGGTAGAAGCTAGGTGGATAATGGAGGACCAAAAGAGGAGAAATGGCCTACTATGGAGTCGACGGCCTACTGCATTTGCGTTATATGGGAATATCCATAAGGAATGTGTGATTGAGGCGTCGGATTACTCCTCGCAGTAACTTTCAGAAGATGTTCAATGGGGGAGTTCGTGGATATTATGGATGATGAAAATGCGAGTCAGAGGGAGCCGTGCGTTGTATATCATCAGCTGGGACATCATCAAAGCCGTCACAATCACATATGGTGGATTATACTTTTTGCCTCCGCCAAGACTCGCCTAACCAACTTATAGATCTTCATCGGATGTCTTCGATGGCCGCATTCGAAATAAGGCAAAGCGGACTATTACCGCCAGCATCTTTCTTACGAGTACTTTGCCATGAACTCAATGGGGATGAGAAGAAACAGAGGTTTCCCGAGTCGTGCAGACCGTTCATCCTCCCCTGAACCGATAAAGGAGGAGGAGGATACTCCAGACGAGTCGCGTGGCAATGGCCATAACGAAAGCGCCAAAACAAGCCTGATGTGGTCTGACATACAGAAGGGGTATCACTTTGTGCAGAAGAAGACGATAAGTAAAAAGGCTGTTCAGGTGGGCCAAGTTCAATTTTTGATTTGAGAAATGTGGGCTGAGACGTATTGCTAAGCTCTCTTAATATACTATACCATTATGCTGCTTTTTTGCTTTAAAAAATGCCCTCCATCGACGTCGTAGACGGAGGACGTATACAATAAGCGAGTCGACTGATGTCTATTTGAGTGATTCGATGTCTGAATTTGAATCCACTTGTCTGGTGGTCTTTGAATCCTGGACGAGTGGGCTGGATTCACTGGGCGGATTAAACAACCAACTCCACTTTTCAACGCAGAGGCAGAGCATTTTTCTGATACGGATATATTCCAAAGCCCGATACAAGAATTTTTCTATCTTCCAATGATCACGCCAAAGTCTTCGGCGTACCCTCCGGACCAAGCAGCGCTTCTTCTTCTCCCAAAGCGCGAGGCCCATCACCCACCCTCGTATGAATCAACCCCTTAACGGCCCCCACCTCCCTCTTCAACGCCACACCCACATTGAAACCTGCTGGGACCGCCGCCTGAGCATTCACCTCAGCACCCTGCGCGAACACACCCAAGTTATCCTTGAACGTGCCCTCTCTCTGTGGGAAAAACGAAACGATAAGCTGGATGATCTCCTTAATATTCTTCTCCTCCGCATAAATGACCGCGTTGGGGCCTGCATCGTACGTATACGCCGCCTTGTACCCTTGGCCATTAGCCAGTGAAAGACGGTTGTACTCGACGATGACGGCGATGATGGCGCGCGATACGTCGTTCATATAGAAGATGGGTGGCTCCGTGTCTAGCGCGACGGCGTGGAACTGATTCGAATCCGCCATCGTGATCCTCGCAAACGTATCAAAGTCCTTCTCCAAAATCGCCTTTGAGATGTCTTTCATTCGCTGTGGGACGACGGCCTTGATGCGGTGTTGGAGGAGGGTAGACGTCTCCACCGTCAGCTGCATACCGCTCGTTGACGAAGTGCCCTTTTTGTCGTCCGATACGACGCAGATGAGGGCGTGGATCTCTGGCCAGTGGGATTGGGGTGCTACTTGGACGGCGAGGGAGTCTGATCCGTCCGGAAGGACGCCTTCTTGCCATGCGACGAAGCCGCCGTAGAGGGAGCGGCAGGCGGAGCCGGAGCCTTGGCGTGCGATGATGGAGAGGGTGGAGGGGGAGACGGGGAGCGCGTAGAGTTGGGCGAGGGAGGCGACGAGGGCTGCGAAGCCTGATGCGGAGGATGCGAGTCCTGCGGCGGTGGGGAAGTTGTTGTATGATGCGATGTGGACTTTGTATGTCGACAGCTGAGAGTATTTTAGAGACATAAACAGATGGATGGAAGAGCATTACCTTTGGCGCGCTTGGGTCCTCATTTTCGACCGTTGCCTGACGGAGACGCTTCAGCTCGGAGATACAAGTCGCCAGACGGCCCCCTGGTTTAATCTCGTCTTCCTTGCCATTGAGCCATAACGTATCCTTGACGAAAGAGGGGTCAGCACGGGAAGTAGTCGTAGATCGGAGGTGATCCTGGTCGAGGGTGACGGAGAGGGACGAGTTGGTGGGCAAGATCAGCTTTGTGTCGCGCTTGCCCCAGTATCTATTATTATAAATATCAAAATACGCATGGACCCGACTTCGACTCACTTGATGACGGCGATGTTGACGGGTGCAGAGGCGGTGGCTTGGTATACGGTGGACATTGTGGGTGGGGATCAAGCGATGGTGCGCTTGGGCTTGTTTTTATTCAGAGAGCCCTACTCCGGATTTCAATACATAATAAGCGGCGCATTTGCTTGGATCACCCTGGGCCTTCGACCAGGGTAAAGTTGTTTGCCAGCACCCCCGATGTCCACTGATGAAAGAGACGGCGACGGAAAAACCCTCTAGGACATGTTTCTCTGAGGATGGTAGGGGTGGAATCAAGCTGGTGAGCGCTCAAGCTCAAGTTCAAGTCGTTCTGATCCCCCCCTCGGTTTTGTTCACATTCCACAACACCTTTTGCTTCAGCGAACGGATTTACGCCTCAAATAACGCTACGTTCGTAAAGTGCTAATTTAACAGAGTCTCCGACTTTTGAGGATGTGATTCAACGCTCCGAGGTCTCTTTCGCCATCGCCAGTGTGGGGTGAGTGGTTTTTCGCGAAATTTTGAAGATAATTGATGAATATGCTACAGAAGACGACGAAATTCTTGCACATTCGGTCTACAAGACGATTCTGACGAATATGATTCTTACTCGGAGTCAGAATTGGAAACAGATTCCACAGAGGATACCTCGTCATCCAGTTCAGCGTATTCCTCCAATGAAGATCCACCCCTGGCGTTGTGAGGCTCTTGCACTTGTCAAAATGGAACGTTTTCTGACTGGCCTATAAGACGACCAAAGCACGTTATCCGAGATCCCACAGCTGCTATACCACTACGTACACGTCATTGTGACCCTTCTGAAAATGGGAGAAGCAGACGCGTCAAGACGTTTTGGTGCGTGTAGTACATTCAAGGTGACATTGCGTCTAATCCAACGCGACTCTTACTTCAGCGTACTGCACGAAAGGAGCAAGCAATGTCACAAACACGGATCCACGACGGACAGGATCGAATACGCGCGGCTGAAGCCAAGCGAATCACCGCCCACCATGCGCAGCAATTAGCAGAGGTGCAAGGAAAACTCAATGCGCTCAAACTTCAGCAACAGGCTGCTGAGACTAAGTTGAGAGAGACTACTATGGCAGCGGGTCGAATCCGTCATTAAGATGGAAGAGGACAAAGTGAAGGCGTGGTTGGAGAAGGAGAAGAAAGCCAGTGAAGAAGAGGAGCGTTTAGCGAAAGCGGCGGGGCTGAAGAGGCGCTTAAAGGAAGAAATGAAGAAAGAGGAACGGAAGAGAAAGGAGGCAGAAGAGGCGCAGAGGCTAGTGGATGAGCAAAAGCAAAAGGAGGAAAAAGAGAAACGTGTCCGAATAACAGAGGAAAAAGAGAAAACGGAGAGGCTCAAGGCTGAAGAAGAACAGCGAAACGCAATGGGGATGACAACGGCCAAGCATGATTGAACAAGGCCCGAGACAATCTTGTGCGTCAGTTTGCATTTGCAGTCTACTCTTCCTGACATCAACATGGCATCTCAAAGGAAAAGCAATGAAGTTTGTGAAGAGCAATCCACATACAAAATCGTACAGCTAACAAACGATGAGGGGGCCATCACCCGCATTGTAAGTTGACCGGTTCTGACCAAAGTGACATCTTTCTTACACATATCTGGTCTTCGCAGTCTAACCAACTCGTCAAAATTATTCGGCCCTCCAATGGTCAAGCCCACCATCCAGCAGTACTTATACGCTACCCTCCTCTCCTCTCTCGCCAAAGCCATTCTTTTCACAAGCCAAGACGGAAGTCACTGCCCAAAAACAGAGTGCAATTCCCCTTGCACAAGTGGCATTCAACCTCCTCGATACTCTGGACCACTTCCCCGAGGTATTTTTCGCCAAGCTCGCACAACGCGTAGGAAGCTGGCCTATACCCGCCGTCGTTCCCGTCGTAGACATCAATGGGAAGCCATGGGAAAACAGGTTCAAGGATATAGGAAAAGCGAGAACATTGATGACTTGGAATCACCAGCAGAGTATGGAAATCGCGTGTCAGGGATTATGAAAGTTTACTTCCACATTCTGAAAATACCCCGGGCCCGCGTCAGCAGCCGTTAAAGCTGATGTTTCAGCAGCTGAGGTATTGGCTATGGTTTGCTAGGCTGGTGGGGAAGAGGGGGCTTCCGGAGACAGCGATAGCGCCACAGCTCATCTCCAGTCGGTGCTTCGATTATTCTTACTACAATGTTCGCTGACTGTTTTTTACAAAGTGCTTGATGGCCTTGGAACCAATGCCAGAAATATTTGGGGTTACCAATGGGTGAAACTTCTCGCCCTAGTTTACGAGGCTGTTACCGCCAGCTTGGAAGGTGACAACTTCGTCGGAAGCGAGTTTCTTGAAGGCAAGGCAGCCCGCGTGGTCACTCCAAACTAGCCTTCAGCTCTCCCCCTTTCCTACCAAATGTCTAACCCACGCTCTCCCCTATTCACTAATGTGCATAAACACCCCCCCATTTCTCTTCGTAACGAATATAACTGCATCTACCAAACCACATCATCACAATCACTTTTTTTTTATCAAACCACTGCACTCTATAATCCACTTGCACCTATCAAGCCCGAATACCACCCTATCATCGTACGCATACGTCCTTCCTCTGCATTTCGATGACTTATCATTTCACCTAGGCATTAAATCATGTCTCTCGTCAGTGCTACTGTCACCGCTACCACCGAGCAGCGTTCACTTGAAGTGAGTCTCGCTCTCCAAACCTCTTCTATCTCTTCCCCTTCGCGGCCGAGGGCTCGATCCATCCGTTGGGACCCTAAAGTGGACCACCCACCCACTTCTTTGCCCGAAAACCAAGGAAGAAGCCGTAGAGGCTCTTATCCTTCTCCTTACGCTAATAATCTCCGTTCGAGTCGAACTCGTTCTTCATCCGCTCCTCCTTCTCCTTCTTCACCCATTTCTCCTTCGCCTTCATCCATTCATCCTTCTCCTCCTTCTCCTTCTCATTCTATTGAATCCAGGAATCCACCTCTTTCGTTTGAAAACAGTGCACGAAGGAGCGTTCCTTGTCCTTCTCCCCATGCCAATAACAATGTTTGTTCTTCTACTCGTTCGCCTGCTGCCCCTTCTCCTTCCATTGAACGCAGGGATCCACCCACCCCTTCGTCCAAAAGCAAAGGACGCAGATCGGTCCCTCATCCTTCTCCTTTTTCTAACAACTTCCGTTTCTCCACTCGCTCCTCATCTGCTTCCCTTTCTCCTTCCATTGAATCCATGGATTGTACTCCTCCTTCCCCCCTCCTCACATCAGAGACGTCAGGACGTCTCTGTGCCCAGTACCTCTACGCCTCCTTAGGGCCCGTACTCCCTTCTCCTCCCTCCTCTTCTCTTTCCTCTTCTTCTCCTAACCAAAACCCTCTCAGTCTCCCCCTCGATCAATACATCTCTCACCTCATCTCCCACACCCACTTCCCCTTCTCCATCGTCCCATGCACGCTCATCCTCGTGCGCAACCTTCGTAAATCGTTCCTCGCCGACACGAAGCGAAACAAACATGTCGCATGTGTGATCGACCCACACAAGTTGTGGGTCGGCTTGTCCATCGCCGCTGCGCAGGCGCATTGTCCTTACATCTCTGATGTGAAGGATTTGCGGTGTTGGACTGCAGTGACGGGGATCCCGATGAAGGATATGGGGAGCGTCGCGAGGGCGTATAGGGTTGTGATGGGACGAGATGCGGTTTTTGATGGGCGGGAGGTTGAGAGGATGACGCAGGAACTGCTTGGAATGGTGGGCGGGGATAACGCTGACCCTTCTTCGCAAGGGCAAGGTCAAGCGACGGGGAAGAAATTGTGGTCTTTTGTTAGGAGAAAGTCAGTGAAACATTCTGTTTGACGTTGCCAGTGGAAAGGAGGCGCCTGGCGCAGTTGATTTCTTGATTTTTTGCATGTCTTGTTTGCTCAGCATCCATTGCATCGTGTTCCTGTTTCTTATCATACGCTGCTGGCGCGTATTCTCACTCGATTTCTTGATCCTTTTGTACGTCTTGTTCTATTTACTTGCTACGAATCGATTGCATTGTGTTTCTGTTTCTTTTCATGTGTGAATTGTGCTGCTGCTCGTCACAATCTACTCGAAGACAACGAAGTTTGTCACAAATACAAGAAAAGCTATCTAACGATACATCTTCTATTACTTACACAGTGGGGATACACAAGGATTTTACAACAACAAATCACTAACAACCTTTTGCACGTTCCTCCTTCTCTGTAGGTAATGAAACGCCTTTTTGATATCTTCAAACATGAATATCGGGACGAGGGCAGCCATAATGGGCACTGCGATCTTCCAGAAGCTGAAACGGCGGATTGGAGATGAGAAGAGAAGGACAAAAAGACAGGGAAGGAGACGAACAAGGCGTCCGAGTTTTCGTTCACGCTCCAGAATGGTTCGAAGTTCATTCCCTAGATCAGTTCAAGTCGGTTCGAAGAGGGTTGGGAGGGAGATGGAAGAAACGCACAAAGTATCCCGTTAAGAGGGTGAGTGGCAGGAAGATTATCGTTGCGAGCGTTAGTCGGTTCCTAACGTGAATGAGTATGAGTACAACCCAGTGTGTACAACGACAAAACTCACATGACTTTGTTCATCTCATACGACGCCATCTAACAAATTTAAGATGGGGCAGAGTATAAAAAAGTAAAGGACGACTCACATTAAAAGCATAATTAATCAAATTCTCCGAAATTCCAGAGAACATGTCAAGACTCGTCAACGCAAAGTCCATATGGTCGTACACGTCCGCCTATCATGATCAACATCAGGAGTCTCTTCACCAACAGGAAGAAAGAAAGGGGAAAAAGAAAAAACCACCAACCAAATACACCTTTGACTTATAACTAAAGAAACCCTCCACCGGCACCCTCCTGTGCTGCTTGCCCTTCTTCAAATTCAATCCGGCGCCAATATCGTCCCACTCCGATTCACGATCCCGGTCAGAGTCACCACCACACTTTTCCTCATCGTCCAAAACCAAAGCCATCTCAGAAGCGATAGCTGCGCTCCTGTCTAGATCGTACCTCCTCAAACCGTAGATCATGGTTTTGATTGGGTCTAGGGTGCGTTTGTGCAGGATCATGTCGCCTGAAAGGATGTGTACTGGAGTGAAGCTTTAGAGAAAAGGGAAGGAGAGGAAAGAGAGGAAAGACGTACGGCTGCGCACGCTGTCCATGCCTGGGTTGAGCAGTATCGAGTGTTCGAGGTTGTGGATCTTGAGTTGGTATTCGTCCATCACCTCCAGAATGTGGTCCACAACTAAAAAGACAATGAGACTTGGGGAATTGATGAAGAAACGTTGTTAGACGAAAAACCTAGGTCAAGAAGACTCTGAACCAAAAGCGAGGCATCTTCAGATGTTCGCAGAACCGAATCGGGTTGGGTGAGTCGTTCGGCGATGGGAGAGGTATAGTCCAATGTTGATGGGTGTATCGAAATTACCGTACCTTTGAGAAAAGTTGAATGAGAACCCCAGTGCAGAAAGAAAGAAACGCACCATCCCTCAAAAGAAAGATGAACAAAGGCTCATGCTTGACATTCACGCCTTCTCCCTTTGTAAGCGCTTTAATCTGTATAACCTTCTTATTCCCCGCCTAAGTAACACACCAGGAAAAGAAGTTGAGTGGATATTGATCACATTTAAACGAGGAGAAAGGAACCAACAGGACTCATGAACCCACTCATACCCGTTAATCGTCTTCGGAGAGCATGCCTCGCACTACTGAGATGCATGCGCGCTTTTCCTTTCTTTCTTGCACCTTCTGCGGGGTCGATCATTTCCGGACTTGCACTGACGACTCTGCCCCTCCTCTTAAAGCCGTCGGGCAACTTGTCAGTCGGGACTCCCTGAGCGACGGGTGGTAGCATTTCCGGACTTGAAGTTACAACGCCCCTCCCTCTTGGGAAATCACCGCCAAGTTCCAAGTCGAGTTCAGATTTTGGGAGAGGCGAAGGAGGGTAGTTCAAGTTGTGTACCAGACAACCATGGTGGTCTTTTTCGCAGGGAGCAGGCTCGCCGCGTTGGAGGGAGTGACAGAGAATGCGGAGGAAGACGTGGCCCGGGTAATAATCTGCCTTTGAGTGCGTGTGTCCTCGTTCGTGAAGTATGTCTTCTAGAGACAGAGCGTGCAAATCTGTTCAATAATGATAATAGTCAGTAATCGAAGAGCAGATGCGAGAATTTGAAACTGACTATATCTTAGTGCGAGGGTACTCAACACACCCCAATCGATCCCTCCAATATTTATCCAACGTACACGTCGAGGGGGGGCTTTCGAAGAAGGAGCAGGATGCTGTTCCCGCATGAGGCCAATAAACTCCTCATTGTGCATCCTCTTGAAAATGGCGTCCTGCGCGTCATAATCCACGACATCAATCACGCAAGCCTGGACAAAGTGGCTGTATTCGGCGATGGAGGCGCTGTGCAGGGGGTTCACGCCTGGCTCTGCGCCTGCGTGTTTTTCTTGGGTGTATGGGTCGCAATGCTGCTGCTGGGTCTGTGTGGGACTTGGGCTTGAACGTGGGGTGCACGATGTGCTGCCGTAGAAGCTGGAGTTCAAGGGCTGGGTTTCGTCTCTGGGGTCGAGTTGGGGGAATTGGAGGCTTGGAGATGGGCTGTTTCGATGGGCGTGGTAGTGCGATGCTACGGAAAATGGGCGTGGCATGGCTGGTGAGTGAGAGATTGGAGTCTACGTCATTGAGAGGTCTCACCATAGGGCTTGCAAAGGAAATCCGGGGTTCCTGGCGGAAAGGGAGTTTCTGGTTAGCATCATCCCAGTCGGGGTAGGTAGTCTGCTGACCACACTTTACAAACAGGCTTGCGAAGATCAATCCGAACGCGACTTGAGCTTGAATATCAAATACCTCAAGGCTCATCCAATGGATGTCACGGTTTCAACTTTCTTCGGGGCACCAATTATTCTTCATCGCTTTCATGGTCGCCCACAGGAGCGTGCAGTGAGTCATGACCAGTGGCCCCTCACTATCAATTCGTTGAATCAAATATACTTAGGGGAACTATTCATACAAGTCCTGGGACCCTTGTGCACTTTTCAATCTCTTCGAAAGAAAATTTATGACTTCTATAAAAACAGCTACTCGACAACGCATTGATTCGTCTCTGGCAACAGCTGACGGTTTCGCCGAAATTACTGCTGTATATCCTAGGATGACGCCGTCCTGGGCCCTTGAGGCCTCAAGCTCAATGCTGCAGAACACCAGATCAGATAAATATATTCCTAGTCGAAAGTGAGTGGCAAAGGCAGATATTCAAGATCGTTGGTCAACGTTCGTGGTATTGATTCGTGGCTTTCAGAAGAACGCGGGCTCCATGACCTGGCGGTTCAACGTCCCATCAATCACAGTTTCAAGGTCAAGCGCCCTCTGGCAACATGAATAATTTTCGGAAATCCAAGGCACTGGCAGGGAACAAACGTTAGGTCACACTCCCCAGAATACCCACATTCAGCTTGGTGTTGCCATGACCTGAGGATTCGGAGTGATTCATGATGGAATGCCCTCACTCGACATACCCGTCACCCCCCAACCTCCCGCGTTGCCCGCCTTCACAAATCTCGTGATCACTCTACACGTACGCACCGTCAGTAAATGTGCTACACAGATATCTGTGGGTGACTTCCCGTATATGTTCCATGGATTAAATTGAAGTACTTATTGACGCCCAGATTAAAATAGATGCATTTCAAATCGGGTTACAGATAAAGAAAACGGACAAGCTGCATTACTTTGTTTGTTGTCAATCTGGGGAGATATGGGTCAGCTGAGCATGAGCGCGACTTGAAGGAATGCGCCCTGTCCGTTGTAGCCATCATGGATATCCCATCCATTGTCTCCACTGCTGTCGGATGTGTTCCACTTCCCGGCCTCAAAGTTGCGTTTGATACTTTCCAATGGATTTGGTCATCAGTGGTGCAGGTAAGGCAACCAAAGCTCTCAACTACTATTTGCAGCTAAAGCTTATCTAGGTACAATCCAACAAGGCGCAGCTCATTCAATTAGCCAGCGCCATCGCAGAGCTCCTCACCACTCTTCAAGGCAACCTACGCGCATCTCTCACTCCTGAGCAAGGCGCGAGCTTGAAGCGATTGCAGACGTACGCATCCTAACCATATCCTCTTCATCTCCCCGGCGCCAATTGGTTTTTCCTCCAAAGGCTGCTGGACGAGATTTCGTCGTTTGTCTCAGGGTTACAGCAAATGCACTTCCTCAAGGCGCTCTTTCGCAAGGATGAGGTTTCTGCAGCTATCACAGCCTACCACGAGCGGATATATCATGCGTGCGATGCATTCAATGTGCGCTTCAGACCCACCCATTATTTGGCTTGCTAGCATTGACACCGCCGTGCAGATTTCGAGCCAGATCAATCTCCAAGTATGGCTTGCACAGTCAGAATCGACAAAGCGAGCGGATTATGCTTCTCTCGAGCTTCTACTTCAGAAAATGAATTATGACCAGGTCGCTATGTTGGACTTGCTGAATATCTCAGACACCAAACAGGACACGCTTCTCACCATGATGATTGCTTTGCAGCAGGTAAACGCCTCGGCGGTTTATATAGTCAAGAACCCTCACTTAGTTTCTGAATCTTTTCAGGCTGTGACCCGCATCTCGAACAACACAGAACGCATGTTTATGCAACAAGCCGTACGCGTTATTCAGCGATATTCCACGTCTGCACAGGATGTCAATGACCTACCAACCTGGCTTGTCACATCATGGGAGGTGGACATTGAGCGAAAGAAGATCGGAGCTGGTGGTTTCGGCAAGGTTTACCCTGCAAAGTGGCATGGAACGAAGGTCGCAATTAAGGAGCTCGATAGCCAAACCTCCCCGGAGGTGTGTTTTTCCTTGCGACTGCGCAGAGGGACTGAAATTAAATTCTCGATGTGCAGCTTTTGAAACAGGAAGTCGATATTTGGAGCAAACTCCTTCATCCGCATGTCCTTCGTATGTAGTCTAAGAATTTCACAAGTGGGCTCTTTCGCTTACCCGGCTGACAGAGTTCCTTGGTGCAGCAATATACGAGGCAACGCCATTCTTGGTCATGCCCCTCATGATCAATGGTAACTGTCTCGATTATATCAAGAAAAACCCAAGCGCTGACCGCGGGTTACTTGTTTGTCAATCCTTATTCATGTACCGCCAATCCTTGTTCACGACTCTCCCGTGTTTCCAGATCCATCAGATTACTTTGGGCTTGGCTTACCTCCACTCAAGAAGACCCCCCATTCTTCACGGTGATCTCAAAGCCGTGAATGTTCTGGTCAACGCTAGTGGAGACGCTATTCTTGCAGATTTTGGGCTTTCGAGAGTTAATCGTGATATCAGCACTCGGAGCTCGCGGGTGCACACTGCAGGGAGCCTCAGATGGATGGCCCCCGAACGCCTTCGTTCCGGCAAGCTCACCACAGAGACAGACGTCTACGCTTTTGCCCTGACTGTATATGAGGCAAGTATTTGCTCTTCTTTGGGCTGATTTTCCACGTCAACGAAACCGTTGCCCGATCCACAGATATACACGGAGGCAATCCCATTTGGTGACATCGACGATAGCATGCTCTACACGCTCGTAGTCAAGGAGGACGAACGGCCACGCCAGCATGACGAAGATGCAATTCCACCTTACAGCATAGACGATCGAGTCTGGGTCATTCTGACCCGAGCTTGGGACCCCAACCCACGTCAGCGACCTAGCGCCGTACAACTCGTAGATATGACAGCAACATTACTTTCAGAAAGCTCTCGCCCTGCTAAATCGCTTTCGCCGCTGCCTCCAGCGGAATCTGTTCCGCTAAGCCCTACACAGCCAGCAGAAGCTCGTGATGAAGCCACAGGGACGCAGAAGCTACCGACTTGGGTGGAATTAGCATCATCTCCGGATGTCAGGGTGCAGCTCCAGGCATGCGAAGGCTTGATTAGAGACCTCCGAGAGACGCCAACGATGCACCTGCTCACGGAAGTATTGGAACAGTTGATTCGCTTGCTGATGTATGCATGCTGTTCTCATTTTCGAATTTGCGACTTATTCATTTGCGGTATCACCAGGAGCTCAGACCTGAAAGTCTCCAATAGTGCAGCCTCTGTGCTTGGGCTTTACACCCACGTCCCGTCTTATGGGTGGTTTACGAGAGATCGCTATCAGAAGGGGGTGTTTACCGAGAATCATGCAAGGAATTGCATCGCAGGGGGCGCGCTCCTTCCATTCTCCGCGATTCTGCAGCGATCTCACGACAAACAAAACCTGGCAACAGCTTGTTATGTGGTAGGCAACTTGGGTTTTTTCCCCTCCAGTGGGGACGCGCTACTAAGAGCAAAGGTCATCCCGCTTATCGTACGCTTCCGTCCGCAAATTTGCTTGCACTCATTCATGGAGAATCGTTTTGCAGACATAGCGACTCTGAAGTGCGGGCGGCGGCTATACAAACTATTGGCAAAATATCTGCCAACAATGGAAATTATCGGGCTGAATGCATTGTTGCCGGCGCATTGCCCTCTCTTTACGCCCTGCTCGTCTCGAGCGATCTAGACTGCGTCCAAGATGTCTGTGTCGAACTTCCCCATCTCTTTGATGGGTTTCATGTAGATATAAAGAAGGCTGGTTTTCATACACGTGTTATGACATTGCTCAAGTGCGTAACAATCTTACTAATGGACACTTTACCGGCTTATGTTATTCTTGCAGCCACGAACGTCCGAAACTTTGTATTGCGGCTACGTTTTGCTTGGTGAACATCATTCTCTACGGTGGCACACCCCACGAAGAACCAAACGAATACGTGAAAGCAACAATGCGGCTATGCCTGAAAAATAATTTACTTCCCCGATTACTCTCACAGCTGTCCTATCCGGATCGTCAAGTCATTCTGTACACGTGTCATGGTGTGCTTGACCTTACATATGGGTTTGCGGACAAGTTCATTGAAGCGAAGATCCATGAGAGGATGGTGAATTTGGCTAGGTAAGTGTCTACCCTGGCGTCTCAATCTGCCTGTCTTTCCTGACCCTAAACGGGGGTGCAGTGACGATGATTATGATATCCAGAATGCTGCGCAACTCTCTTTGATTCGATTTTGCTCTCAGAGCTCTTGGCTGTCCAAGAGGAGGCTGAAGAAAGCAGGAACTATCGATGTGCTCAAGAACTTGGCGATCAGAGATGTGTATGCGCAAATTGCAATTCACTCTCTGTCATCCATCCTGCTGTAATCTAGTGGCCCCGTTTACAAAATGCTTTGAGAAAGCAGAGTTAGTTCCTATATCTCTGAAGCTTAGTTGTTTTCGCGTAGATTGGGCACAATTCACATGATGAGAACGGAAACGCGGAGCAATCGATTCGTAACAAAGTAGATCATTAAAACAAAACGCGGAAATGTAGCAAGAGATGGAGTGAGAACGCGCTCAAGCAAGGAACAGAAACACGATGCAATCGATTCGTAGCAAGCAAATAGAAACAAGACGTGCAAAAGTATGAAGAAATCGAGCAAGAAAACGCGCCACAAACATCATGCAGAGTGTTTCACCGACGTTCTCCTAACAAAGGACCACAATTTCTTCCCCGTCGCTTGACCTCGCCCTGGCGTAGAGTCAGCATTACTCTCGCCCACCATTCCAATCAATTTCTCCGTCATCCTTTCAACCTCTCTTGCATCAAAAACCGCATTTCGCCCCATAACAACCATATACGCCCTCGCAACACTCCCCATATCCTTCATCGGGATCCCCGTCACCGCGGTCCAACACCGCAAATCCTTCACATCAGAGATGTAAGGACAATGCGCCTGCGCAGCGGCGATGGACAGGCCAACCCATAACTTGTGTGGGTCGATCACACATGCGGAATGTTTATTTCGCTTCGTGTCGGCGTCAAGTGATTTACGCAGGTTGCGCACGAGGATGAGCGTGCAGGGGAGGATGGAGAAGGGGAAATGGGTTCGGGAGATGAGGTGAGAGATGAATTGGTCGAGGGGGAGACTAAGAGGGTTTTGATTGGGAGAAGAACAGGGGGGATAAGAGGGAGGAGAAGGGAGTAATGGCCCTAGGGAGGCATAAAAGTATTGGGCACAGAGACGTCCAGACGTCTCTGGTGTGAGAAGGGGAGAAGGGGGAGAAGAATCCATGAATTGAATGGAAGGAGAAAGGGGAGCAGATGAAGAACGAGTAGAAAAACGGAAGTTGTTAGGAAAAGGAGAAGGACAGGGAACAGATTTTCGTCCTTTGTTTTTGGACGAAGGGGTGGGTGGATCCCTGCGTTTAACGGAAGGAGAAGGGGGAGCAGCTGAACGAGTAGAAGAACAGAAATTGTTGGGAGAAGATTTAGGGACGCTTCTTCGTCCACTGTTTCCGGACAAAGAAGGTGAATTCCTGGATTCAACAGAATGAGAAGGAGGAGTAAATGAGAAAGGAGAGGGAGGAATGGGTGAAGAAGGAGAAGGAGGAGCGGATGAAGAATGACTTCGACCCGAACGGAGATTATTAGCGTAAGGAGAAGGATAAGAGCCTCTTCGGCTTCTTCCTTGGTTTTCGGGCAAAGAAGTGGGTGGGTGGTCCACTTTAGGATCCCAACGGATGGATTGGGCCCTCGGACGCGAAGGGGAGGAGGTAGAAGAGGTGTGAACAGCGAGACTCACTTCAAGTGAACGATGCGCAGTGGTAGCGGTGACAGTAGCACTGACGAGAGACATGACTGAATGTCTAGGTGAAATGATGATAAGTCGTCGAAATGCAGAGGGCGAACGTATACGCACGATGATAAGATGATATTCGGGCTTGATAGGTGCAAGCGGGTTATAAATTGCAGTTGTTTTGATCAAAAAAAGTGTTTGAGATGATAGTGGTTTGGTAGATGCAGTTATATTCGTTACAAGGAGAAATGGGGGGTTATTTATGCACTTTGGCGAATAGGGGAGAGCGTGGGTTAGACATTTGGCTGGAAAGGGGGAAGGGGAGCTGGTAGCGCTATTTCTGAGTGATCGGGGGAAGAAACAGCAGGGAGGTAGCGTCTAGAGACTGGGATTGGGGTTGAGATAATGTATGCGCTCGATATCAGTGAGGACACCCCCCCCCCCCCTGGCAACCACGTCCACCCTCATTCCAGACGAACTTGAGTATCCCTGCTACGCCGAGGTTAACAAGATGAAGAGGAGGAAGCAGCACATTCCTGAGAGACAGTAGCTTCGTCGAGTGCTAGAAATTTAAGGGCTAGATACCGCGTGTGGTGGGGGCCCGGGGGACGATGTTACGAAGGTTCACTGTCATGGTTGAAGTTGTTGAAGAACAATCGTAGCAAATAAACACAGTCATGAACCCACCACTAGGGAAGTCAAGAGGGAAGTTGTCCTCGCGCGTCTAGCATATGCATGATCAAAGATGGACGTCGACTGGCTCCCCGAAGACTTACACTTCCACAATGAATCGACGATTGAACTACCCCTGGAGCTGCTTGAAATCATCTTTCACCTCGCAGCCGCCGAGTGCAGGCGTTTCTGCTACACCCTCTGCTCCGTATCCACATGGGGTAGAATCATAGCGCTGCGCCATCTGCTTGTTTCCTTGATGATAAAAGGCCCTGGAAGCAATTTTCAAGCTGTCCAGATAGTCGCAGGCAACATCCTTCATCAACCCTCTCAGCTTACCCCCAGCGATCTCATTCAGAACATTTGGATGCCTTACGTCTCGGATTCTTTGGTTTTTCTTTTCGACAGCTGCAAGAACCTGAAGAATCTTGCCACCGATTGGCGATCTTTCGACCACTTGGTTGAGGCGGCTTGCGGCGGACATCCCTGGCGTGTTCTTTCCGATGCCGCTCTTTGGCAGGAACAAGACCTTTCCCTCTCCATCTCTACCACAGAACACATTTCAAGTGCAAGCCTGTCTCAGTTTAGGATATTCGAGGGTCGTTTTGCGGATGCCTCCAAGTTCCCTATCTTCTCGAGGATCACACATTTGCGGCTCACGTCGTTGATAACATACTGCCATCGACTCCGTTTCCCTTTGCTAACCTGCCTCACCCACTTGGCTTTGCCATACCATGGTGACATCACCTCTCGGATCAACTGCCTGCTTGAACGTAATTCAAAAATCAAGATGTTGGTGATTGTAACATTCACCGACGTCCTGTCAGAGACTCAACAAGCACGGGTGGAGAGCGGGATAAAGCAGCGGAGGATGATGGACAATAGAATCTATGCCTACCCCACTACATCCCTGGATACTGAAAAGGAGTGGCTTGAAGGAACAACAGGCGGTCGGAGCATTTGGGAGGGGGCTGTTCGATACACGGAGCAGAACCTTAGGCTCTAAGCTGGTTCCAGGTCTGTAGACGGAATCAACTGATTGAGCGAGAATGGAGAATTTCGCCCGATACAGAAAGAACTCCGGACTTGATGGTGAAAGTTACCTTTCATGACATGATATTTCAATTATCACAGTTTTTATAGGCATAAGTTGGAACCTTTGAGGTGAAAAAAAACCTGTATTATATGTCCATTTGCTTGCCATGAATGTCATGTGTGAATTGTGACTCTACCGTTATCAGACAAGGATCAATTAGACTGAGAAGTAAGTAGTGAGAATAAAATTAGAAAAAAGTCATCGGGAAGTAATAAACGTATTGGTGGTAAGCCTGTACTGTTCGAAACTCATCTTCAGCTACTCCAGTAGTGGGTACAATTTTTTGACGTTTGTAAGGTCCCGCTGTTTCCTTGGATCCAGGAACCACAAAGACAACGCAGACTCTTTTCCGTGCATTATTGGGCAGTTCCTTGGTGAGTTTCGTTATGCTTTTCAGGTTGAGGTCATGAACTGGGGACATGGTAATCTGGAAAAGAACCGTAACCGCCTTCGATATACAGATAGCATGGATGGTTTCATCCATGGGCGAAAGGGGTATGAGGTAACGTTGAAGAAAACGATGGTGTACGTCGTGAGAGCCAGACTTCGCTCGAACAGACAGAGAGTGGAAGTAGCCTTCAGCTTCGCTATTGGCCTTCTTGATCTGCACCGTTAGGGCAGGCGCCTCACTATCTGTGGCCATGGGTTGGAACTCGATGCCTTCGCGAAATCGGCGGTGGACTCCCATTTCAAAGAGCTTACCACTCCAGCGATGTGCTGTGCGGATGGAGAGTGGGTGGTCAATGCAATCACGAAGTTCCCTCAGGCTGATCTGAAAGAGTTTGATCCTGTTGAACACGCGTCTTGCGACGTAATCGCTCAACAGCTCCATGACTGGAGCTATCCAGGTATCGTCACTGGGTTCGATGCGTAGGAGAGGATGACTGCTATCGAACCACATAAACCCACTTTCTGAATGCATAAAATCTTGTAGGCCACTGATTTGGTTGATAGCCTGATCGATTTTCTGCATTTCATGCTCCTTCCCATCAAGAGAAATGGCTCGGAAGCATTTCCGTGGAATGCCGCCTAACTTCTGGAAGATATCCCTCAATAATTCAGTGGCCTGTGGTTGCACCAGTAAACTATTTGTTCCAGTTAGCAAAACCAACAAAGTTGAGCCTTTTTCTTATGACCTAGCGCAACAAAGATCAGCCCACTTCCATGTGGGCAGATAGAATGTCTTGGCAACATTGCTCTTGAATGCCTTCACGCTATCATAATCGGGGGATGTCGCGACCACGACTCTGCCTAGACGTATATGAGGATGAAAATGCGAAGGAACATCCAACAACTCTGGGTTTATATCGACCAACCCACAGCAGTCAACGGACTGATCGAGAAAATTAATGCGCCATTCTCGGCTCAGCAAAACTTGCTGAACCCCACTATCAGTGAATACAAAAGCATATGCCTTATTGTTGCAGTAAACAGTTGGCTTCTTTTGTTGAAGTCGCCATACGAGGATGCAGGAGAGACCTGCTGTCTTCCCTAAAATAATGCCATCTATTGTCCAGCGGTATAGACATACAAAACAACCACAACTCACCTATGCCAGGCTGGCCCATAATGATTGTTGAATGTGATAATGCAATGAAGCGTTCTGCACGAGGAGTCTCACTGTGGACCTTCTCCTCTTCGCACAACCTGCTATAGAGTAACCTGTACGTGTTGGTGATGAGTACTCGGCTCAAATCACAAGGGAAGACGCCATCATCAGGGAGTGTGAGGTACTTGTATTTCGTCTCATCGCCTGCAGGTTTCAGTGTTCTTCCATCGGGTAGACGTACAGATTCCTCAACAATATGTTTGGAAGAAGGGTTACCCCAAAATGTAGCCCAAATTCCATGCCAATCGGCTGAGAGGTCATTGAAGATATCGGACTGAGCAGCCAAGCGGGCTCTTTTCTTGGGAGGTTCATCATCTGTGAGGTCGATGGCAAATGTGCAGTTGTCAGCACAATATATTGGTCGCTATATAGCGGTGTTATGGGGGACTGGTTGCTTACCAAAAGACTGTGGGAGCTCAGCGAGAATGCTGATGGTGAGCTTTGGAGGATTTGCTGTGAAGGCCGATGACAGCTTGAGCGACGCTAACAGCTTCTCCTTCTTGGCTTTAGAGGCCACCGCCTCAAGCTCGCCAACATCAGAAACATCAGGAAAGTCGACTTTATAGAGGCTCAGTGCGGCGGCGTCGATTTTGTGCTCCAGTGAATGAACAATCTTCGGAAAGATGGCCTCTTTCAAGTCTCCAACAGTTTTTGAGCATTCAATGTCAACAGGGATTGGTTCGAGTGGACGCGGCAGTCCTCTCAAAAAGACGAAAAGTAGCAGAGGTGCCATATCCGACCAGGAGGATAAGAGAAGTGGACGTTAATTCGATAAGACATTTTGCATGGTGACTCAGAATAAAAGGGGTAGCATCGTCTATTTCGGCAAAGGCAAACCGGAAACTCTATCCCGGCACCTCCATCCCAAGGCGGACTTGAGTATTTCCGCTACGCAGGCAACGGTAACTATTCAGAGGTGGGGCTTCCATGTCGTTGAGCTAGAATTCCGTTGTGGACGAGGATAAGCGTGCATGGGACGATGGAGAAGGGGAGGTGTGTGTATGAGATGAGGTGAGCGATGTACTGCTCGAGGGGGAGAGACGGGAGGTAAGAAGAAGGGGAACAGTGAGTACGAGTAAGGCCCAAGGAGATGTAGAGATATTTGGCGCAGAGACGTCCTGCTGACGTCTCTGGTTGAGGAAGGAGAATTATCCTTGGATGTAACGGGAGAAGGAGGAGGAGGAGGAGGAGGAGGGGGGGGAGTGGGTGAGGAACAAGTAGAAGAACGGAAGTCATTGGCGTAAGTAGAAGGATAAACAACGCTTTTCCGTCCCTTGAATTCAGACGAAAAATAATGTGGATGGCCCACTTTGGTAGCGACTGGGATTGAGGTTCAACTTGTCGTAGTTGAGCGAGTCGAGTACGTATGAGCTCGATTTCGGCGAGAGGAAACCCCACCGCTGGCAACTCTATCCCACCACCCCCAAAAGCGAACTTGCTACGCCAACTGTCTCGGAGGCGACATCAACGCAGGCAACAGCCCCTGGTGAGAGGTGGAGCGTTCGTGTCGTTGGACTCTTGAGAGCCATGCGCCACCGAGCTGAGGTAAACGAGAGTGGGCTTTCCCTAAAAAGTGGGTGTCTGTGCAGGGCAATGGGTGAAAAAGACATGGAAACCTACAACGAAGTCGGTCGAGGCTCAAGGAGAGCGTTGAAGTTCCGAATTGAGGACGGACACTCGGCAACTCTCCATCGTATCTTCTAATTTATGTGAGTTCACGATATTGAATGTATGAACCGAAGAAGCGACTTACGACGATCTCGTCCACATTTAACGACTGTTCTTAACTTATTACCATCGATGCCGTCGGTCTCGTGGAAATGGGACAGCAAATCTGAAAGCCAGCGAACGCCTCTGAGTTCCCCGTGCTTTTGACTTAGTCGGCCGCAGGCACTGACTACGGAAACGTTCCGTTGAGATCTTGGGGAGAGTGGTGGCTTCAGGAAAATGATCGCTTGTTTTGGCGATCATGAGTGGAAAACCACCTGCTTTGAAATGGCTTTCCAGATCTTCTGACAGTAAACGATGAATGATAGCTTTTCTTTCAAGCCCATAACGGTGAATAGCTCTCGATTCATTTATGTACAAAAATACAGGCATGTAGTTATGCACAATGGGAATGCAAATTATGTGGTGTCAAGGATTGATCCAACGACTTGGCTCTACTATAGAATGGAGTGGAACTATGATTGTGAATGACTGGAAGAAAGGGATGAACGGCGAGAGTGCAGGAAATATTAAAAGGATTTATGACGAGGGTTGGATAGCGCGAGTTGCGAGAATGCGGGAATGTACAAAGAGTTCTTGTAAGAATTTGAGGAAAAGCTGGACCACGTGAACGACGACTTGCGAGGATGTAGAAAAGCTCGGAAGAATCGTCGTTTAAGATGACGGATGGACAGCGGGGTGACTCGCGAAACATTGAAAGATTTCTAGGTTACGATGACGAGCGGACAGTGCGCGTGGCGAGAATGTCGGAAGCTCGAAGAGAAATGTGAGTGGCGAGAGCATTCACGGAAAGAATCTGTGAGCTATGATGGAACTTCGAGTCGCGACGATGCGAGGAATGCTGTTAGAGCTAGCCACGAGAACGGAAGAACCGTCGAAAGAACTGCAACTTGGAACCAAATATATGCGGCTTTCTTGAACGTAATTCCGCAAGGTCCACTAGTTCGTAATGCGCGCCGTACTACGCACAAATCCATCCATCGCCCGCCTAGCAGGCCCAAACTTGGATATACCACACCTCTCACTCTCAATATGCTGGCACAACGCACTAAGCGTCGTAAACCTTGTCTTACACGACTCCCAACGACAAATATAAATCTTCTCCTGATGACGCGGGCTCGCCAGATGTTGGTTCAACGCAGCAAGCGTCCGGTACGTCCCATAACAGAGATAACACTCGTACGCGTATCCGTTCCACGCTGCATCCGTAGCGTAGTGCTTGACCTCGCGATCAGGGTTACCACCCGTCAAGAGACGGGACGAATCCGTGATGAGATTGTTCCGGTCGTTGTCGCGTACGAATTTGTTTAGTTTCGCGCGGTCGATGCCTGATTTACACGTCCCCGCTTCGAGGTGGAGTACTACAGCGGACTGGGAGACGAATTTGAGTCCGCACCCCTTGGCGGGACACATATAGTTCTTGGGTGTGTGGATGGAGGAGTTGAGGTGGGCTGTGAGGTTATTTGCGGAGGAAAAGAGATGCTTGCATGGGACGCAGTAGTGGTGGCGCGGGGATTGGCGGTAGTGTTCTTCTAAGGCTTTTTCGTTAATGAAGACCTTGTTGCACGAGCTGCACCAGTAGTGTTCTTCTTGGAAGTGCATCTGGAGGTCTTCCTCGTCGTAACAGTGGATATCGCAGTACTGGCAGTAGTCATGGTCAGGGCTTTGGACCAAGTGTTCTCTCAAGCCGACTTGGGAATTGAAATCTGCGTCATGGGTGGCGCAGTACCAGGGGTGGTTGACTGAGTCACGCATGTGCTGTTGAAGAGCGGAAAAGAACTTGAAGGGGCGGTCACAATCATAGCAGTAGTACGCCATTGGGACGGGGTGACTACAATGTGTGAGTTCTGAGAACGTTGGAAGAAATATTTCTGAGAGAGTGCGGATATGCGGTATCCGTCGAGGGAGAGAGAAGGCCGACTTGGAAGACGGAGAAAGGATGAGTTGAAAGAGATTCAATGAAAGGAAGGCGGTGTGTTGACGTGTTGACGTGCTTAATGAGTCACGACCAGTGATGTGCCGGTCATTGACTAGTCAATGCTAGTCATGACATTGACAAGTCAAAAGAAGTCGAAAGTCAAGTCAAATTGACCGTGACTCGGTCACCATTTACTAAATAAGGCAGGATAGTTACAGTGTTTTGCATGTGAGATTGGAATCCAAATCTCACGAAAAGTTGTTTGTTCTTGTATTAGTTGTAATGTGTGATGTTGCCTTCCTCTGTGTCACAGCGTTGAACGTTGAACTTCCTCTGCCAGAGCGCTCTTAGTGAAGGTCACGGGTAGCCGATAAAGGATCTAGTCTTCCGACTAGATCCTTATTTTCTTCAAGTGGAGGAGTCCCCTCCCTTGGAACTTGCTTGGAACCCGCATTTACGTTGATGATTCAAGAATGTTGACTCCCATCAGTCACAGACCACAAGAACAAACAAGTTTTCGTGAGATTTGAATTCCAATCTCACATGCAAAACACTGTAGATAAGCAACGAACTTTTGTTGACGCGCACAAAAGACTGGAATTTGTGTTCGAAATATTTAATCTACAAGGGAAGGAAGGTCCTCAAGGTCAGAGTTGTCGCTATCCTCGGGGGGTGTCTTTCCTTTCCGAAATCCAAGTGCAGCTGACAAACGGCATGTGATCGGTATACGGTGGTGCTCGATTTCCTTGGGTAAATAAATGTTGGATTGATCATATACTTATACTTCAAACATGGAGTATAGTGCATATGCCAACGCGCACGCAAATTGCTATTCATAATCTCGGGCAGACCCTTCCCATCAGACCCTTGCCTCAAAGTCATTCATCACGTGCAAGTCAATCAAAAATCGATGTCAATGACTAGTCGTGACTAGTCATCAAAGTCATGACCGTGACTTCTTATTTTTAGTCATGACCTTCCAACACTAGGGACTGTCATGGATACACCCGGGTATTAACTGTACCCGATCCACGGATTTTCCCACCCACAGATCAGATAAGGTACATTACGGATATATCCGTGGGTAAAACGGCCTGAGTGGCTGAGGACGTAGCTTCAGTTATATAAATGAGTGTATCTTGTTCATTTCTTGTCTGTTCTTTACAAAAAAAAATTGTGTTATGAAGCGAAAATTCAGAAGAATTCATATTAAAACAAAAGTCATTCATATATGATCTAGATTGAGTGCAGTAAAACTAAAGTTATTTATATATCATAATCTGAGGTCTTTCCCTTTATATAATGCTGTTGTAACTGAGCCTTGATCACAGAGTGTGTTTTGGGGTGTGTATTAGCATGCCTTGGCCATCTTGAGAGTATTTATTTTCAGTATCAGAGAAATGCCTTTGAGAACAATTGATATTTATGTAGAGGTATTGAAAGAACAATTTTGGTGACATAAAGTGTTACAAAAAGAAATCATTGTCCATCTTTTTTTCAATCATTTGCATAACTTTATTGAAGCCTGGGTAGAGGGGGGATTTAACCCAGGATCTGAGAGCCATTTCTGCTCTGAATGTTTGAGAGTTAATATTGTGCTGGGTGAAATTGATCTGATGGTGGCCAGTGGAAAATGCTCACTCTGCATCCACAGAAGTAGCTGCAACAATTGTTGAAAATAAAGGAACATAAGTGTGAATAATGGTGCTTACCTGGGGCTGAGCAGAAATCAGAACCCATTCGTGAGAGTTGTGGTCAGGACTGTGATGCATTATGCCAGTACATCATATAACCTCCCATTTCCTTGATTGTTTCCATTGCTACCCTGGGTTCATCAAGGTAAGCCTGAATGTGGTCCTTGACAAACTGATTTTCTTTTGGTGCATATTGTGATTGCTTTGGCTAAAAATTGAATTCAATAACAGGATTTCAAAGATATTTTTACCAATTACCTTGTTTTCCTCCCCTCTTAGCTCATTCTCCTCTTCACCTGCATATACACTGTCTCAGTAATCACATACTATACTTTTTATAGACTTGATTTGTTGGACGTCATGACCATGGTCTTGAAACCATTTGACACTTGAGACAGCGACAAATATGTAGGGCTACATATGTAGAAACATATGCTTGTAAGCAGTCCCTAGAATGCACAAAGGACCACCTAAGCCAAAAGGCAGAATAACTGAGAAGTTATATTCTCAGCCAGTGCATCCTATATATGATACAGTATGGGAACTGTAGTAATCATGCCATGATTACACCCTCCCTATCTCTGGAACTTTGCCCCCTCATACAGACCTGGTCCCAATCCCATAGTCCTGGAGTTCCTCATGGGGTTTCCAAAGTGGGAGTGCTCATATAGGCCACCCCAAGGGTCTACCCCCTTTGTTAGGGTACCATCTCAATACTTGTCCTTTTATTCTCATTTTGGCTCATTTTGGCACATTAAACCTTTTGTCTGTTTCTGTATTACCTGACTGGTATTTACTAGTTGTACTCACGTCCACTATTACATAAGTAGTTGTATTCTGTGGGTATTGTACTTGATGTGTCGACGAACACGTTCAAACATGAACTCCTTTCACGCGTTGTACACTTGTTTGGTTTGCAAGTCGTTGTTAGGATCACAAGTCTTCGTTAGGATCGGAAGTCTAACCAGACATATCTGAACAAGAGAAATGTTTGTAAACAAGAAGATGGAATATTGTAGCAAGGATAAGAACAATCTAGATACTTCTCAAATACTATTGTACTTGTATTTAAATAGAGTGAAATGCTAGAAGTAAGGTATCTTACTTTTAACCCCAACTTTACCAGTTCCTTGAACTAAGGTGTTTCTTGAGTGAATTGATAAGGCTACACGCTATCAATTAACTCGGACCAATCGTTAAGGCTTCGTGCTAACGATCGCAGTCCTCAAGCAACGCAAACAAAGTACGGTTAAAGACTCTCGACGTTTCTAGGAAACCCCCCTTACTCTTTACAACTCAATCATATCATATCTGACTCTACGTACAATTACTCTAGTCTTGTTTACTAGTGTTTGTATTCACAGGAATACACCAACGTAGAGCGTCGAACTCTAACATTGGTGGACACATTGGGAACTTTTCTTAGCAAACACGAGACCTCTTAGCCCGTAGGACGTTCCAATTGAGTCATCAGTTATCGGTCACCTCTGTTCCCAAACCGTCGGAACACGTTCGGTTATCGGCTACGTTTACCTCCGAACCGCAGGAACACATTCCCCGATTGCAACGCCCACCAACCAAGTCAATCTGCACAAATCGGTATCAGCAAAACACGTTTTCAATCTCAAGAGATCCTGACGAGACATGTTTTCGATCGTCACGCCCACAGACCTCGTCAATCATTCTCAGTAACCATCACATTTACCCTTTTCCATCCGTCTTATCCATCGAATTTCAAATCAAGTCTTCATTATGTCTAGTAGCAACGAAGGCACGAAGAAGTCTACTCGCAGAACAAACAACTCGCAATCAGCTGGTATGACAAGTGGGGTAAGTAACACATTGGGTTTTGCGCCACCAATTCTTCAAGAAGCCTCAGAGACAAACACTTTCCCAGATTCGGTAAGTGACAATGCGAGGCGAATACCAGAAGACGTTCAAGGCACACCAAGCAACCGCCAAGTCGAGAACACCTTCGTAGACCCTGCCGAACAAGGAGAAGAGGACACAAGGTCAGACTCCAGTCTGAGTCTACCAGACTTCGGAGAGCTGACGGAGTTAGGTTCTCCCTACAGATTCAACGAGTTGCCGGTCGATCGGGAGTTGTTCTTTGAACGCACAATCGAGTTTCCTAGTTGTAAGCCGTTTTCTAATTACGGAGATTCGGAGAAAGGACTAAAGAAGTCTGAGAAAGTATTCTCCACCGGAGGACGTTATTTTCAAGCGCTAAAACTGGGAGAAGCCAGTCTACAACGTCCCATAGCCAGTTCCGGTGGGAAGACTATGTCTAGAAACGAACGAAAGAAGTTTTTCTCAGAGGAACTGGGTATTCTCGACGAACTTTTAACTAATTTGTATTGTTTTAAGGATGGAAATCGCGCCGGTTATGCTATTCAGAAGATTATACTGGTTAGTCTAAATCAACGACTACGGGCCTGCAGAGAACGCGCAGAGGAAGATTTAATTATGTCGGGAAACGGAATTCTTAGTATTCCGCGATGGGGATTGCATGGTAAGGCTGATGAATTCTGGAACACTAACGATTTTGAAATTTTAGGAGCTTGTTATCGACGTGAGGTTGAGGATTTTCTGACATACCTTGTCGATCATCACGACTTTCCATCCGCGAAGAAAGAAACTGCAAGTAAATCGAGGACTATGTCCGTTACTCTACCTGCTGAATCGTCTGGTGAATCGTCACCCACTAATCTGGCAACTCCAGTAATTACAGTGCCCATCTTCGCTCCAGGCGAAGCAGATAGCATTTCGAGATTCCAGCGTCCATCGACGGTGAGTTATACTTACCAAACGCCTGGAAATCTTAACTCCTCAGTATTTGGACGACCCACTCAAAATACTTCGTCGAAAGTGTTTCAAGAGATATTCAGCGCTGATAATTCGAAGAAAGGTCAGATAGGGCGAGTAGTGACTAATAGTCCTCCCCCCGTAACCTCCACCGAACAGTCTCACAGAAACCCTACAGGAGGAGCTCCAGGTCCAGGAGATTCTGATGGAGACGACAGCAGCGATGAAAGAGGAAATAAGCCTCCTAGGAATCCCAAGGTCCCTCGTATTCCGCGCAAAAATCCGTTCGACAACACGTCAGGAGGGAACGCTGCAAGTAAGTTTCCAGCAGAACCGCAATTTGACAATAAACTGAAGGGGGACGCTATACCAACTTGGGACGGGAATCCCGATTCGCTGAA